CCCAAAATGTGTAGTGTAATGCTAAGTTTTGTACCGTTTGAATTTATACACAATGGGCTATCTATGCTCTGCTCTCCACGGGTATCGAAACCCGGTTTTTAGCACTGTAAGTCCGCAGACATACCGCTGTGCCACTGGGGGCGTTTTGCATTGGATTTACTAGAAATATATATACATATGTGTGTGTTATATATATATATATATATATAAATAATGTACATTAAACGAGACCTACTAGGATGACATATCAGTCGTTTGCTTAGGCAACAAAGTCTATATGAAATGACAGGGTATTTTCGTAACCACCCTCTCGAACAAACTAACCAGCTAGCACCCTCTGGTGACTAACCTTTGGGCTGATGGAACATGGCAAAGTTGACTATTACAGATATGAGACGTTTACGTTCGCATCTGGTCTGTTTCATTCGCGGGATGTCGCTTTTGTTTCTGTTTTCTTTATAATCTTATTTTTTAGCCATGACTTTACTGGGTCACACATCCGGCGCCCCCAGCTAGTAAAATCTGTCGGTGGTGATTACATTTTGCGGCAAATGAAAGAAAGGTGTGGTTTATGTTTATAGCAAAAGTGAATACTGCCTCGCCTCAGCCGTTTCTTGTTTAGTGCAGACAGCATGTTTAAAAATCACTAAATTTATGCTTTAGCTTAAATTGGGGTGCGTTATGTCTTCAAGAGTGGTTCGTAATTTACTGGATCATTTTGTCTTCGAACGATTTACCTCGAACATAATATTCTTTTCCGAAATATACAATCATGAGTAAAGTCCCAGAATAATGTCTTCTGAGAAGTAACTTGTAGATACTTAAAGGTCTATAAAACTATAACTTGAAGATACAAGTTTGGAAAGTGGATGTACTTTCTTATAGCAAAGCCACATCGGGCTATCTGATGCGTCCACCGAGGGGGTATCGAATCCTCTATTTTAGCATCGTAATTCCGAAGACTTACCGCTGTCCCACCAGGGGACAAGTTTGAAAAGAAAACGGCGCATTACTATAGTAAAGATCGATCTTTAATTACTAATAAATTAATTATTTGGAAAATTCCAAAATTATCAAGTTTCCTACTCGCGATGAATATGCAGGATTCTGTAGATATGTAAACCAACCTCCAGCAGTAAAATATGATTAAATACTGGTGTGTTTCTAAATTATAAGTTAGCTACGACGAAACGTTTTTAACTCGTCGTTTTAAAGGGCAAATCCTACACGTTTCTCTAAGGATTGTCACCAGTTTGTGTGTTCCACTGTAGTAAAAAATGGTAACAAGAAATGTGTGTTTAGTGTTACAGTAACATTCTAACAGTAGGTAAATACCGTGTAAAGAACTCTAAAGTAAAGTTTAAATCCGCAATAACAGAACAGCACCAAACTTATATGGCTACAAGTTTCGGCACTTCACGTGTCCTCTTCAGTCCATCGTTTGTTGTTGAGAGAAACACGTACATATGGTGTACGTGTACGATACGTGTTTCTCTCAACAACAAACTTTGGACTGAAGAGGACACGTGAAGTGCCGAAACTTGTAGCCATATAAGTTTGGTGCTGTTCTGTTATTGCGGATTTAAACTTTATTTTATACAGTGACATCTTATAGTAGCCAAATACATTATATCCACATTTATGTAAGTTTGTCACGGTTCAACATTACGACTAACTCATCAATGGAGATGTGACCTGTAAGTTTTAACCTTAGAGTTTTTAGGTTATAAGACTCTTTCATCACCCTTAAATAAGATTTTATGATCTTATATTGATTACGTTTAATGTGTTATCATACAAGCTTAATTGGCCCGGCATGACCAGGTAGTTAGGAAGCTCGACTCGCAATCTGCGGGTCGCGGGTTAGAATCTCCGTCCCACCAAACATGCTCGCCTTTTCAGCCGTGGGAGCGTTAAAAATGTGACGGTCAATCCCACTATTCGTTGGCGGTGGGTGGTGATGACTAGCTGCATTCCCTCTAGTCTAATACTGCTAAATTAGGGACGGCTAGCGCAGATAGCCCTCGTGTAGATTTGCGCGAAATTCAAAAACAAAACAAACTTAATTCTCGTTAACATGCCTATCAGATAACGAATCGGCTAACTTATTAAGTAATTGTCATATCTTGGAGTAGTTACATGAGATGTGTTGTTTTCTCTGACTACCTTAACCGGTTCTAACTCCTTCAATAATGGTTACATTTAAATGTGCAGTCCAACCCAATTACACTTGGAAATATTGTTACCAGCGAGTTCTTTGTTGTTGTTGTTTTTGAGTAGTTACATGAGATGTGTTGTTTTCTCTGACTACCTTAACCGGTTCTAACTCCTTCAATAATGGTTACATTTAAATGTACAGTCCAACCCAATTACACTTGGAAATATTGTTACCAGCGAGTTCTTTGTTGTTGTTTGTTGTTTTTTACATAGAATTTGCTTTATTAATTTTAAGTTAACTTTTTAGTTGTGATATACAGAGTTGACTTATTTTTTTCATCAGAATTTATCGAAAAGTATCAATGTACAAATTGTGCTTGAAGTTTGTTTTGTTTTTATTGAGAAGGTAAACGTAAACTAATATGTTGTTTCTAAATACTTTCCATGGTCGCTCTGTCGAGATTGTGTCAATTAGATTAGAACAAATTTGGATAATCTACAGAACGAATGAATACAGCAAATTACTGTTGAGTTCTTTAAATAAAATAACAACAAACGTTGTTGGTGTAAGTGACTATTTTGTGTCTGCGATAATATTAACTATGTTAGTAAAAACAAACAAAAAATTGTACCTTTCTTTCGGAAGAACAACTACGAACTGTTTGAATTACAATATAATGTTTTTTAATATAAAGCATAGAGAAAATTAGTAGGACACTTAGCATGTAGTAATTTGAGTGGTTGAAATGAATATATTGCCTCACTATAGGAGTTGCTAATCTTTCAACTGAGGTGGAAGATATCTCGCTTTATGGTGAGAAAGAAATCAGGTTTTATCCCTACTACGGTTTAAAGTTGTATTTCCACGAGAGTGTAAGAACTGTCAATAGTTTCATCAGAAGGAAAATTTGATACAGATGCAGTAGACTCGACGAAAACAACTTTTAACAACACAAAAGAAAAACTGATATTTTCTCACACAGAAAAAGAAGAAGACCACGCCAAAACGAGGCAGATTTAGTACATGGTGTAACTACGTTTAACACCTTTACATGTATAGGTGTACAGGCCAGATTAAGCTTTCCGGGGGACCAAAAACTAAGATAGAGTAAGAGCTCCCCCCTCCTATATATAAGTCCATAAATATCATTATAGATATCCAAATAGTATTTCCATATTGAGCGTTCCAAGTTAGACAAACAAAAACAGCAAAGCAACAACACTAAATATTTATTCATAAACAAATTCTAAAATAATTTTATATTTGTTTGATTCTTTGGACTATCTGCTCTGTCTCCCGCAGAGAATCGAACCCTTGATTGAGGCTTTGTAAGTCTGTAAACCTACCGCCAACCCACAGGAGGACACGACGTCATTTTTATTCTGTCTGTTTATGGATAGTAAACTCGAAACTGGTTTATTAATGAAAGGATTAATAAACGGAAATTACGAATGATATACAACAGTCATAGTCATTGACTACTAGAAAAGTTTCTGGTGATTCTTTTGAGGGGGGGGGGTACTTTTTGGGGAGGAGGGGTCCAAGCTATAGCGGGGGTGCTTTTGGGGGGAGTAGGGCCCAAGCTATAGCGGGGGGTACGTTTTGGGGAGGAGAGGCCCAAGCTATAGCGGGGCTACTTTTTTGGGGGAGTAGTGGGGCCCAAGCTGTAGCGAGGGGTACTTTGGAGGGAGAGGCCCCCAAGCTATAGATTGTTAGATTGTTCATTAATTGTGCATTATTCTCGGTTCGGTTTCGCGACACGGAAAAAATCTTTGCGTCTTTATCTGTCTGTCTTTCTTCTATCTAATACGTCTAGCTCGACAACTTCCAATTGGCTGAGTGTAAAATGTTTTCTGAATAAAAGCCATAAGTAAGTTACTGGTCTGTATAATGAAAGCATTACTGATATAAATAGATGCAATTTTCTCAACAATGCCAAGCCATAAAAACTTGACAGTATCTTACAAGATCTTTCCTTTGTCACTTATGTCATTCTAGAGTGACCATTTGTCGCTTTTAGCGTCCTGATACTCTTACAAGATCTTTCCTTTGTCACTTATGTCATTCTAAAGTGACCATTTGTCGCTTTTAGCGTCCTGATACCGAACTTGAGGAAAGTTGAGTATCCCTCGTCAATCATATCCCTAAGTTCCTCGGTGGGACAGCGAAAGATTTATGGACTAACGACGCTAAAATCCGAGGTTCGATTCCCCGCGGTGGACACAGCAGATAGCCTAATGCGGCTTTGTTCTAATACAAACAAACAGTCTTACCCCAAAATGTTAAAACTCTGACTGATTTACATTACGGTGTGTTGTTGTACTCTGGCTGATTTACATTACGATGTGTTGTTGTACTCTGACTGATTTACATTACGATGTGTTGTTGTTTCATTAGAATTTGAGTTGACGTATTTGTTTCCACTTAGATATGTTAAATAAAAAGATAATATTACATTTTACACGGTTCACTACATCATATTATCAGTCTTACTTCCAGTACCAGGTTCTGTTTCAAAGTCAAACCATGAACGTTTTTCTTTTGTTTGTTTATTTCCGAGGAAAACCACAACAGGATACCTACTGTGTTTATCGCGGGGAATTGAATCCCGATTTCTTACTTACTAAATCCGTAAACTTACCGTGAGATCCATGGACGGAATGTTCATCTTTACATAATATCAAGTTCCCGAGAAAAAAAAATTACGTCTCGAATACGCAAAAAAAAAATAAAAAAAAATGAACAGGTGGTTAGGGCGTTTGACTCGCATTCTGAGGGTCGCGGGCTCGAATCCCCGTCCCACCAAACATGCTCGCGCTTTCAGCTGTAGGGGCGTTATAATGTTACAATAAATCCCATTATTCGTTTGTAAAAGAGTAGCACAAGAGTTGGCGGCGGGTGGTGATGACTAACTGCCTTCCCTCTAGTCTTTCATTGCTAAATTAGGGACGGCTAGTGCAGATAGTTCTCGTGTAGCTGTGCGCGAAATTCCTAACAAACCCAAACCAAACAACGCAAAAAAAATGCCTCACCTGAACATAACTGTGGCACCCTGGACTCCCGCCACAGGCTCCACCACCCCAGTGTTGTTAACATGTATGCCCTTCATCGGTTTCCGCCGTCTGGGTTGATATTTGTAGTCTGGATGTTCTTTCTTGTGAATGACTCTCAGTCTTTCGGCTTCCTCGACGAAGGGCCGTTTTTCTTCGTCGCTAAGCAATCTTTCAAGAAAAATTTACATAAAAAAAAATTAAATAAAATTCTAGACAAACAAGGAGAAATTCAAATCACGTAAATAATACGAGTCCAAACACTCACTAAGTCAGAAAAAATATACTGAACTGAAGTAAAAGATGTCATCTTTTATTGTTACTTGAGCTACGAATCACCCCCATCCCCCCATTGGCACAGCGGTATATATCTGCGGACTTGCAACGCTAGAATCCGGGTTTCGATACCCGTGGTGGGCAGAGCACAGATAGCCCATGGTGTTGCTTTGTTCTTAACGTCAAACAAACAGATCTTGAGTTATTAAACCCGATTTAGAAAATAAAACTGATATACGTGTATATAACTTAGTAAACATAATTAATTAAAAATTGGTCAAAGCAAAACGTTTTAAGTGAAAGGAGTGAATACTTTCATTAAGAGTAGACTGGTATTTCTTGATCAAAAGAGTTAATTTTTAATTAATGAATATGTTTTCACTTGACAACAAAATAAGCTTCATCACAAAATTTCCTTAAATAGATAATAAAAACAACTCCTTACAAACGATATTGTAATTTGTACAATAAGGTTTGTCAAACCACGACATCTATAGTTTGAATAAGCATGAGAAAAATTATATGATTTTAGGTCTTACATATTTAGATCGAGAAAACATAAAGTTTCATACATCTAAAGCATATGGATTCTGGTTATATAGAGCAACAAAATTTATTGTGAACATTTAGATTCTGGACATATAAAACGGGTAAAATATTTAGATTCTGGACACAGTACAACATTTCGATACTAGACATATAGAACAAATCAAACATTTAGATTCTAGACATATAAAACAAATCAAACATTTAGATTCTAGACATATAGAACAAATCAAACATTTAGATTCTAGACATAGAGAACAAATCAAACACTTAGATTCTGGACAACTGGAACTATAAACACATTAAGATTCTAGACAACTGGAACTATAAACACATTAAGATTCTAGACAACTGGAACTATAAACACATTAAGATTCTAGACACATAAAA